CCCACCAAGGTTGCCCTCCGCCTTAGCTAAACTATTACAATCTCCGTACGTGTGGAATGCTTTGACTTCATGATCTTGATTTGATACATATGGCCCATCACTGACCAAAATGCTGGTGTGTGGCACATGATTTCACCGCTTGAACATATGTGGGCTGGAGAAGAGTTCATAAGAGAAGATACTGTTCTACCAAGCCTGTTGGTGCACGCCTGTCATACTGGCCCCTCCGGGGCTGAGGCAGGAGAGTTTCACAAGGGCTGCCTAGTGTGTTCACGGCCAGTCTAAGCAAGCTTATGTTCTAGTTTTAAAAAGTGAAAAAGAGGACTGGGGATGCATGGCCACGTTGTGTAGGGAGTGGGTTATCATCTTTCAAGGAATCTGGCTGAAAACTGAGAACGTCGCTTGGACAGCCAGGGTCTCCTAGGGGTTCCCATTGGATATCTCTCTTTCCCTTTTAACTCTAGGAAGACAGTTACTAGCTTCTGTTGGGTCCAAAGGAAACTCTATCTCCCCCGAATTCTGGCAGTTAGACAAAGCCGCTCCTCTACCAGCTGAGCCATTTCCAGCCTTCCCTGGAGAAGGGACAAAAGGCTATCTGTGGTGCCCATTAGCATATCAAAGCTCATGCCGCCCTCCAGGCTCCTTCATTGTCCCAAGCACTGGTTACCCACTTCAGGGTCCATGCTGATATCCTGGCTCTTCTCTGCTCTTCTCACCTCTCCCCACCCCAAACTTCCTCCCCCACCTACTAATTCTCCATATAACCCTGCAATTTCAGCTCTGCTCCTTCCCTTGCTGTCTTCCGCTCTTGGTACACCCTGTCTCTTCATGTCTCGCTCTCCATTCGTTCATGGCTAAGTCCAGTCTGCTGGCCACGTTCAGTCTACCACCTTCTCTGTCTGTTCTGGACTCTGCCTGATGCCTCTGGCTGTTCTCTTCCTCGGAGCCGCCATGTCGTCGGTTTGTACAGCTTCTAGCCTGTGGAAAGAAATCTGTGTGGTGATATTTTATTTATGCTGAAATGTGATGATATTTTATGTGTGCTTTAATAAATAAAGCTCGCCTGGAGATCACAGGAAATAGCAAGCCATTTTAAGTAAACAAAGAAGTCGGGTAATGGTAGCACATGACCTTAATCTTATCACTTAGCAGGCAGGGTCTCTGTGTGTTCAAGGCCACACTGGAAACAGAGCCAGGTGTGGTGGCACATGCCTTAAATTCCAAAACTAGTTAACCATGGAGGTCTGGAGGTCTGCACAGACAGACAGGAAGTGACCGAGCAGTGTAGGAAGAGGAAGTGATGTAGCTGAATGGAGAGAGCAAATCAGATGGCAGAACAGCAAGGCATATAGACGTAGGTAGACAGGAAGTAACTCGCATTTGGAAGCTGCAGAGTTGGTGAGGTAAGGTTGGCTGGTGGCTTACCCTATTTCCCTGATCTCTAAGGCTTTCACCCCTATATTTGGCTCCGCGGTTTTTGTTTTTTTTTTTTTTTAAATAAGACCATTTAGAAATTTGTCTACAGATCTGCAGCCGTCCAGTCTTGGGGTTGGGTGGTAAAGTTTGGGTGCCTTGCCCAACAGGCTGCATTGCAGTCAGGGCTCCAGTTCCATCCGGTTTCATCCTCACCCGGAACTAAGCCTCACTCACTCTGTAGTCACTCAAGAAGTCAGGAAAGCCATCCCACGTGACAGAGATGCAGAGAAAGGTTTCTCACACTCCCGCTAGGACCCACCGTTTGTGGCATGCTGAGCGAAAATAAAATCTCTCCTCCCCAGCCTGCTTTTGCTCATTGTTTTATCCCAGCAACAAGAATCCTAACAAGGACAGTTATGTAACAATAGGTCAGGTAATTGCCTGTTTTTAATATTTATAAACAATATTAAAGTTTGTAAAAATCCTAATTATTCATGGCATCTGTGCACACTGGATTTATTATTACTTTTCTCTTACTCTGGTAAAAATATCCTGACAAAAGCAACTTCAGAGAGAAAAGGCTGTTTTGGCTCACAGTTCAAGGATACAGTCTGTCATGACTGAGGAAACCCCGGCAGCAGGAGCTCACGGTAGCTGGCCAAGCTGCACCTGAAGTTTGAAAGGAGAGAAGGATGCAGCTCATGCTCAGGTAGCCTTCTGTGCAGTCCAGGACCCAAGGGCAGGGAATGCTGCTTTAGGGTAGGTCTTTGTCTTTCGCTCAACCTAATCAAGGCATCCCTCACAGCTATGCCTGGAGGCTTGTCTCTTAAGTGAGTCTGGAGCCTGCCAAGTTGCTAATCATTGTTAACCACCACTCCAGGCAACTGCCTTGGCACATACTAGGCAAGCATTTTGCCACTGAGTTATCTACATCCCCAGCCCTTGGGTTTCTGAGACATGTCCCTGGCATGTACCCCAAGCTGTCATTGAATTCCAAAGTGTCCTGCCTTCTCTTCTCAATGGCTGGGATTGTAGTCATGAGCCAGCTCCAGTATACAATTATTTTCTTTCTTTGGCACAGTTAATTTCTTTCTTTTTTTTTAAAAAAGATTTATTTATTTACTATGTATACAACATTCTGCCTCCATGTAACCTTGTACACCAAAAGAGGGCACCAGATCTCACCCACCATGTGGGTGCCGGGAATTGAACTCAGGATCTCTAGAAGAGCAGCCAGTGCTCTTAACCTCTGAGCCATCTCTCCAGCCCTGGGACAGTTCATTTCTTTTCCATGATATTTCAAAGAGAATACATTTAAAAAATGTTCCATATGTTTTTATTTGGGTTTGGCTTTTACAAATTGTTGTGAATCAAAGAACATTTCAGCGCAAGCAATATTTGAAGCACAGAATGTACTCTGCTGGTGACGAAGAGACGAATATAATTTTGTCTTGCTCTGTGGGCACGGTGTAAATAGAAAACATGCATTTTTTATTAAAGAAGCACTCAGACAGCTCTTGGTATATGAGCTATTCTCAGTAACCTGCAAATCTACATCAGGGAAGTATTAATATGTGATGAAGGCTGGTAAAGAGGGAAATGGGAGCTGGGAGGATGGCTCAGTGGGCAGAGTGCCTTTCACAAGCGTGAGGACCTGAGTTGTGACCTCCAGGACCCACATAAAGGCCAGGCACGTCAGCCCACTGGCCACACAGCTCAGCTGAATCCATACGCTCCAGGCTCAGCAAGAGACTGTTTCAAAAATTAAGACAGAGGAGTCTGAGAGATGACTTGGCAGTTAGGAGTGCTTGTCGCTCTTGCAGAGGACCACGTTCAGTTTCCAGCACCTACACGACAGCTCGCAAACATCTCTAACTCCATTTCCAGGAGACCCAACACCACCTTCTGGTCTGTGTGGGCACCAGGCATGCACACACATAGTGTACATACATACATGCATGCAAAGACTCAAAATATATCTTTAATGAAGTCAAAAGCAATAGAGGAAGACACCCAAGGTTGACCTCTGGTTTCTCTACCCATGCACAGGCACACATGTGTCCATACTTACACATGTACACTTAACCTCACACACAACTTTAATGGATGAATGGGGCCAAGAAGTCATTGTACTTGGATTTCACTGTAACGTAGTAATAGGGAACAGCAGACATGTAGGGCAGGAGAATAAGGCCCCAGCCCTTTCTCATTTCCTCAGATCTTCAGAATATGAAACTTGGATGGGACAGGAGAGCAGTCACATCCTTCCTGGCAGGACAGGATGTTGATTAGTTGGGTTCCGGATCTACTGAGTAGGACCATTTTAATCCTATGACGGTCTGGGCTAGTGTGAGCCGGTTTGATTCCTGTTGAATTGGAGTGGTCATTTCTTTCCACGTCCCTTCCTTCTTAGCCTGATTGTTGTAGCTGCTGCTCTTGGCTGCTTCTGTACTGTTCTAAGAGAAGGTGGTGAAGAATCTCCCTTCAAAACTTGCTTGTGGAGCTGGACGTGGTCTCAGCATTCAGGAGAGATGGATCTCTGTGAGTTCTAGGCCAACCTGGTCTACGTAGTGAGTGCCAGGTCAGCCAAGACTATACAATGAGACTGTCTCACAAAAGAAAAGGAAAAACAAACAAAAACAGAACTTGCTCATGGGGCCCACAAGATGGTTCCTTGGGTAAGGTGCTTGCCACCAATCCCATTGACCTGAGTTTGGTCCCCAGTACTCACAAGTCCAAACCTCCTCTGACTCCACGTGCACACGACGGAATGCAGTGCTCTGTTGGACTTCCCGGAAGTAGGTGGGGGAAGGGCTAGCGATTCTGTCTCATCTTGCCCTTTGAAAGTTTATCAACATTGCTATTGCTTTCCAAGCAATTTCCTCTAGAAATAATTTTATAGCCTTTATTCAAGCTTTTGTGCAGACTCTGTGGCACAAATCAAAACACACTTTGTGTTAAGACAGAAGTTAATGCAAGAGGAAAATGTGAACAATGCATAGAGCAAAAATTTAACTTTTTAACATGAGTTTTATGAGTATGTGTGTGGGTACATGCATGCCACAGAACTCAATGAAAGCTAGACTTCAGCTTACACAAACTGGCTCTCTCCTTCCACTACAAGGACTTGGTGACAAGCACCTTTATCTGCGGAGCCAAGCCATCTCACCAGTCCAGTATTTTTTTTTTTTAAATCACATATTCAGCATTATATTTTCATCTGGAACCTCCTTTGAATGGGTTTCTTTGAGCAAACTGAGTAGGTCCCTAGCGTATATTCTCTAGGATAAACTTTTCATTACTTTATTCGGCCTGTTTTGTTAGTCTTTTTCCAAGATGGAAACCCATCTGTAGGGTTGTTCAGAGTGAGCAGACTCCACCCTCTTGGTTCTCCACCATCAGCTGCTCCACCGCGAGCTCATCGGTCTACTCAGCTTTGCAGGTCAGTTTCTGTCAAACACACTTCCAGGTGGATAAGAATTACACATTTTAATGTGTGTTATAGAGTACATCTCCTCTCTAAACAGACTTTTCTTTGCTCTCTGTAAGTTTTCAAATGTACCACACATGTGCTTTGTTTCCAGGTCCGTACTGTGGGAGTTGGGCTGTTCCCAAAGAACTCTGGGTGAACTCAAATGAAGTGACTGTCCGGTTCCAGAGTGGAACTCACATTTCTGGACGGGGCTTTCTTCTGGCCTATACCAGCAGCGACCATCCAGGTACCACAGAAAAACCACCATGCCTATATAAAGCCTATCTGCCTGAGACATCTTTTTGCTCCTTATCTCTTCCTCGGGACATAATTGTGATCCCAGACACCACAGTAAGACGTGAGGACAAGCCGGGCGTGCCTTTAATCCCAGCGGTCTTGAGTCAGAGGCAGGCTGATAGCTGGGATTCCAAGGCCAGCCCGGTCTGCACAGGAGTTGAGTTTCAGGCCAGGCAAGGCTATGGTAGTACAACCCTGTCCTGGGGGAGAAGGGGACGGGCCAGAGGATGTAAGTGGAACAGCTTCTTTGAAGTCGTTGGTCCTGTTCTGAGTCATTTTAGAGCGTGTGGTGAGTGGATTCAATGATGCCTGTGGGATGGAGTGAATCTTGTTTCCTGTAAACCTTGATTGACACGGCTTTGGGTAAATTTCCCTGACCCTGCTATGGTCTGGCTTCTTTGAAGTCCTTCCCCAGCCTCCTTTCTTGCTCAGGAAGCAGATGTTTTCAGTGGTGACTCTCACACCTGTCACACCCTAGCACACCAGCTTGGAGACACAGTAGTGGCAGCGGGGTGAGAAGTCACTGTCCCAAGACACCCCAACCGCGGTTGGGAGAGAAGGGAAGAGAGCATGAGTACTGATGAGTGGGAAACTGTCGGTGTTAGAATTCCTGGCCACACCCCCATGCCTGTGCAGTGCTGGCGAGACACTTAGTCATCCCAGGGCCTTGCGTCCTACGTAATCCATGCTCTGTGTCATCATGTAATTTATGTGCATGTGTAGCATAGCCACATAAGCCCATATGCAGGGGAATCTATAAAAGCAGGTTCCACAAATCCTTCCTCTTCTTCCTTCACAATCTTTCCATAGGCCTAAGCACATCTCTTCTGTTCCCTTCCCTAACTACACCCCCCCCCCAGACAGGGTTTCTCTGTATAGTTTTGGTGCCTGTCCTGGAACTCTCTCTGTAGCCCAGGCTGGCCTCGAACTCGCCGAGATCTGCCTGGCTCTGCCTCCCAGTGCTGGGATTAAAGGCGTGCGTCACCGCCACCAGGCATTAAACTCTTACAGTGGGTTTTGTTGTACCTCGTGGCTTTTCTAGTATGGTAAACAGTGATGCTTAATAAATAACATTGCGCCGCTTAATAAATTACAGTCGGCTCCTTCCTGGGTCTCATATGGTACAGAGACATCACTATGTAACTCACTACATCCCTATCCAGGGTCACAATGTGCCCAGTGTTCCTGCTGTTACTCCTCTGTGGCAGAAATTGTCTGGAAGGGGATGTGCTACTCATTTCCTTCGGAGAGGAGTAGATATGATTGGCTCTCATGGCCAGTATTTACCATGTGTGGTTCCTTACGATTCTTCAAAGGTTCCTGGAGAGAAAGAACTATTGCCAAGAATATGGGATATTTGGGGAGCTGGTTTAACTAAATATGTTCCCCTGTAAATAATTTTCATTTGCTCCCTATTGTTGATCAAGATTTTGATCACTAGCCGGCACACACTAATCTCAATACTGGGGAGGCAGAGGCAGGCAGATCTCTGTGGGTCTGAGGGCAGCCAAGGCCACACAGAGAAACCCTGTGTCAAAACAAAACAAAACAAAACAAAAAAACAAGATTGTTCATCACCGTGTCAGTGTTCTTGGTAAACTTCTGTTTCTATGTTACTGGCTGCTGCTGGCTAAACTGTTTGAATTAACATGCTCTGAGGAGGCAGGTATGTTGCCCCGTTGGCAGAGTGCTTGCTTGTCCAGCATTCCTGGAGCCTAGGGTCTAACTCCAGCACTACATAAATCCAGTCACCGTAGGACATACCTGTAAGCCCAGCACTCAGGAAGGAGAGGTGAGAGGACCAGAACATGTGTCTTAGTTAGGGTTTCTATTGCTGTGAAGAAATGCCATGACTACACAGCTCTTACAAAGGAAACCATTCGATTGATGTGCCTTACATTTTCAGAGGTTCAGTCCATTATCATCATGGAGGGACATGGCAGTGTGTAGGCAGATGTGGTGCTGGAGAGGTAGCAGAGAGTTCTACATCTTGTGTGGGCAATAGGAAGTGGTCTGAAACACTGGGCATGATTTAAGCATATATGAGCCCTCAAAACCTGCCTCCACAGTGACACACTTCCTCCAAAAAGGCCACACCTCCTAATAGTGCCACTCTCTTTGGGGACCATTTTCTTTCAAACCAACATAACATGTCAAGGGACCTGGGCTATGGGGGAGTGGGGGGATCTTCCTGGGAATGTTTTCCATAAACTGTGATGGTTTTCCTCCTGGCAAGGATATTGTGTACAGGATACATGCAGATGTACAGTGGTTACTGTTGGAAGTAGATTCTGTTATTTTTTAGACAGTAGCACTGAAAAATAACCATTGGTGATAGGAAGGAAAAAGAAACTTAGTAAACATTGGAGATTGTAATCTCAGATTTCATTTAAGAAATTCATAAAAATTCATAAAAAATTCAATTAACATGATAATGCTTTCAAAGTTTACTTTTTTTAATCTCTAAAGAAATATTCAGAAACAGGTGGCCTGGTTTCCACTTACCTGCTAATTGCATTTCTCTTTATTTGTAATAGATTTAATAACCTGTTTGGAACGAGGCAATCATTATTCAGAGGAAAAATACAGGTAAATATGTGTCCTGAATTATCCACATGTAACAATAAGGAGTATTTGAGATGTTCCCCAAAGGCATAGTCTGCAAACCTTTTGTCTAGAGCTGCGCTGTAAATAGAGGTTTTGTAGGCCAGGAGTTCCCATTGCACTGACTCATGCGATCTCTTGTTGCTGTTGAAGCAAAGAAGCAAAGGTAGATGATGGAAACAAGTATGTTGGCATTATAATAAAGTTTTATTTATAAGAACAAGCCTAGGCTGGAGAGATGGCTCAGCAGTTAGGTGTTCACATTGCTCTTGCAGAAGACTGAATTTGATTTCCAGTACCCATATCAGGAAGATCACAGCTACCTGTAACTCTAGCTCCAAGGGATCCAAATGCTCTTTGGGCACCTGTCCTCCCATGCTCATACCCATACAAAAATATGCACATGTACACGTGATTTAAGATTAAAAAGCCTTAAGAAAAGAAAGAAAGAAAGAAAGAAAGAAAGAAAGAAAGAAAGAAAGAAAGAAAGAAAGAAAGAAAGAAAGAAAGAAAGAAAAGAAAGAAAGAAAAGCAGTAGTGTGGGGATTTGGCTCGGAATGAGTGTGGTGGTACATACCTGTATTGTCCTAGTCATTGGGAACTGTAAGCAGGAGGTTCAGTGGTGAGTCTGGGCTGTATGAAAAACATGAGCGCGCGCGCGTGTGCGCGCGCGCACACACACACACACACACACACACACACACACACATACGAAGAAGCATCAGGTTATATTTGGGACTTGGTCCACAGTTTGCTGATCCCAGAGTTATGCTGTATTACCAGTGAGCCACAATTGAGTCTGGAGTCTACTGTTTCTTTGACTGGTGTGTGGAAATGAGTTGTTTCATTCTTTGTTTGTTTGTTTTTCGAGACAGGGTTTCTCTGTGTAGCTTTAGAACCTGTCCTGGATCTCGCTCTGTAGACCAGGCTGGCCTTGAACTCACAGAGATCCGCCTGACTCTGCCTCCCGAGTGCTGGGATTTAAAGGCATGCACCACCACTGCCTGGCTGAGTTGTTTAGTTCTTTTATGGGGCTTCTGTCTTTAACCCTAAAGAAAAGCCCAGAGAGAATATAGATAAGGATTGTTATCTCAGCTTTTCTTTAACTACAGATCTACTTAATCTCTGATACACATTTCCCTCTCCATCATTGACGAAGTCACATGGTCTAGAGGAAACCGAACCACAGGGATGCTCTTTCTGCATTTCTTTGTTGTGTAGGGCTCTCCCGGGCATTGTTAAATGCCTGGCTTCTCTCTGAATTTCACTGTCCACATGCCAGTTGTGACAACCAAGACCGGCTCTAGACAATGCCTCCTGTCTTCTGGGGCACACAAGCACCCCCAGCTGAGAACTGCTGTCTAGAAGTGGCTGCCAAGAGCAATAACAAAACTGTGACTTTCAAGTGCTTTCTCAGTGGTCCGTGCCTCACTCTACACCATACACGGAAGTAGCTTCTATATTCCAGCCTGCCTGCTAGGTTGCTTCTGTTCCATCCTGGAAATAGAGGCTCAGAACCACTAAGCCAACCACACAGAGCGTGCGTGGGGAGTTAGGTTTAAGAGCCTGTGTTCTTAACTGTCTCACACCTTAGGACATTCTCAGTGTAGGTATTTGATGCACACAGCACAGTCAATCCCAGTATTAGCTAACATTAACTCTACCAGAGACACATGAGGAATCAAAGCGTATGAAATAAATGTTGCCCTGAAGGTTATTGTTCAGCCCATGTAAACAGAGGCTAATGGCCTCTAAAGTTTTACCAGCCAAACCTATTCAGGGCCCTGGGCATCATAGAGAAGGAGAATATATTCAAGAATACAATGTGGCATTATGATGACAGACTGGTTCCACTTTAGGCCAGCCATTTGGCAATGCTTAAGTATGGCCACTAGTATAGGGAGGCCCACGCCCCTTACCCATAATTCCGGAGTACAGAGAGCTTTGGAAGCCCTTTGTTACTCATTCGATTGTCAATTCATTTGACAGCAAAATTAGACCACATTAGCATGAGGCTATTTAGTCTTTCTGCGTTTTGCTTACTATAGCTCTTCGTGCATTCCATATGAGCTATTCCGGCTTTTGATTAACGAGTGAGGGCTCCCCGGGGGTCTTACATTATGTGCATCATTGCCGCCATTTCACTTGCCTGCGACCCTAAACGTTCTGAATCCAGAGGCTTATCCCGCACTGAGCACTTTGTCTCTTAAGGACCTGTGGACCTGCAGGAGGTTGTTTTTATTTCTCAATTCCTTGATGACTACCACCACACAGGCCACTAGGAAAGAACCCTGAAATGTCTATTTGAGTCATTCCATAATTAGTTGTCATTACAGCCTAATTTTCTAAGCAGCAAGAGGAAAGTGAAAGGAAAGGAAATTAAAAAAAACAAACAGCTGCTATTTTGGAATCTGTCACTTTTTAAATGGAGTAAAGAAGCCTCAAACTCTACACAAAGAATATAAGCCACTGAGGAATGCTGGGAGCGCCAACTGATTATACAGTACCAAATGGTCAACCCTGAAAACATACATACATTGTGGAGGCCAAGCAGGTTGTATTTGTGTATTTAGGAATATATGTTTATGCATATATGTAACAATGATTAATGAGAAAAGAGACCATGAATTTGAAAGAGACAAGGAGGGGCATATAGGAAGCTTGGAGAGAGGAAACGGAAAGAGGAAATAATGGTGTGATTATACTATAATCTCAAAGGAAGGAAGGAAGGAAAGACGATATCAAGCAGTATATATAGAAATGGGTGTACAGCATTCATCTTCAGAGCTGTCTGGTTTTATACTTTGGCTGTGTGTGTGTGTGTGTGTGTGTGTGTGTGTGTGTGTGTGTGTGTTTCAAAGATGTAAGTAGCTGTTCTTGATGAGTTGACACTTCAAGAAACTAGAGATAAAGAGATGGAGCCCGGGAGATGAGAGCAGTGTTCCAGGGCAGCTAGTTAAGTAGAGACTGAGCCAAGTCACCAGCCTCTAGCACTGAGACCCTTCAGCCACACTAGCTTCTGTGATGTGCTCCTACACAGCTCCTCAGATGATGACTGTCAAGTGAATTGAGGCTTGTTTTATTATTTAGTGTGTGTGTGTGTGTGTGTGTGTGTGTGTGTGTGTGTGTGTGTGTGTGTGTATACACACTTGTGGGTCAAACCTGTCCTTAAACATGTGGTCGTATGGTCTCAGGCTTCGGATTAGTCAGGATTACCGACTTGTATGATGAACCCTGAATGAGCCCTCATTTTAAAATAGGCCTTTTAAACTGTAAAGGTAATTTATTATTAGCACAGAGTAGTAGTATCTGTTACAGTAGCCCTGATGACTCTGTACTTGAGCTATATCAAGTCCAAAGTGAAGTGTACTGCAGTTGTAACATATATCCCCAACACTAAGAAAAGACAAAGTTAAATTATCTCCTTGATTCTTGTTGTTTTTCTTTATATGTGGAAATTAACAGGACTTAGATATATTGTGTTAAATGTATATTATTAATTTTCTTTTAGTCTTTCTATTTTTCTAGAACAGCCACTAGAATATTTAAATTTACACATCTGGCTTTCATTGTGTTTCTGCGGGGGAGTATAGTTTAGAGAATGAGCTGTTGTAGTGTTGGAAATTCTGTTCCAAGAGAGAGTTCAGGAGTGTTTCTCTTCCTCTTCCTTTTGTTCATCCAAACATAAAATTTCAAACATTTCTTTTAGTAAGAATAGGGCTATACTATATAGGTAAATTTTCCTTTAATCTTAAAAGTATTTCTTGGGCATCTTAGAATCAAAGCACATTAGGGAAGCTGCTTTAATACTTACTAGTGACGAATCCTTATAGAAAGCAAGGAACTATTTTTTTTTTTTTTCTGAGACAGGGTTTCTCTGTGTAGCTTTGCCCCTTTCCTGAATCTCGTTCTGTAGACCAGGCTGGCCTTGAACTCACAAAGATCCTCCTGCCTCTGCCTCCCAAGTGCTGGGATTAAAGGCGTGCACCACCACCGCCCGGCGCAAGGAACTATTCTGTGAAACTTTCCTCCAGGTTAGCATTTAGACCAGTTTGTGTTTTTGTAAATTAGGTTTCTCCTTTGTCTTTAAAGCAAGATAGTGTTGCCTGTGTTGGGAAAGAGGGAATAAAACCTGAAGTTTAGTTTACTGTCTTTCTTTGGTTTCAATGTAGTTTGATCAAATATAAATTCTCTTTTCTTCTTTTTTCTAGCAAATTCTGCCCAGCTGGTTGTAGAGACATAGCAGGAGACATTTCTGGGAATATGAAAGATGGCTACAGAGATGTAAGTGATTAAGGGTAACACCAAAGGAGTAAGTGTTGGTTGCTGTGCCTGAACTGGTTGCAAAATCATACGAATTGGGATACAGAAATCTACACAGATGCACATTAGCTTTTTTATGAGATGGTGACATGCGTTACTTTTGAAACCAAAGTAATCTATGCTTTCATTCTTATTTCCTATTAAGAGTAATAGAAGTGAAATGAAGAACAAAAATATTTTTAGCACTTAAGTATTATTCCATTGTACTGGTCAGCTTTCCGTGACTGTAATGAATACCTGAGGTAAATCTACTCTTAAGAGTGTGAAGGTTTGTTTCCGTCGCACATTTTTGGCACTTTCAGTCAGCCTGCTTGCAGTATGTCATAGGGGAAGTCCGAGATGAAGCAGTGTATCATGGGGGAGCATGTAGTAGATGTAAGCTGCTCACCTGAGAACAGCTGGGAAGCAGAGAGGCAAAAGGGGCATTCCACAGACCCTTGCAGGGGCACATTCTTGGTGGCCTGATTTCTTCCCATAAGGCCAACCTCCTAAAGGTCCTACCATGTGCTAATCGTGCCACGGGCTGGGCATTGGCTTTTAACACGTGAGCTTTGAGATCTAAACACCTGTCCAGTTTCTACAAAAGGCCATAGATTCCGGCTGCTGGAATCCCACGCCTTTAATCCCAGCACTTGGGAGGCAGAGGCAGGTCTTGGGAGAGGAAAAAAAAGTCATAAATTTGTATACTTAAACATTCATATTCTCTCTCTCTCCCCTCTCTTGAACTTAGGGTTCATCCTCTCTTTTTCTTTCGTGTGTGTGTGTGTGTGTGTGTGTGTGTGTGTGTGTGTGTGTGTGTGTGTGTCTGTGATCACGGAACACCTCTGTAGCGTCCGTTTTCTCCTTACTTCGTGTCGACCATCAGGCCTGCATCACCAGATGGCAAGCTCTGCTGACTCTGAGTCATCTGGCTAGCCCTGGTGCTCTAGTGCTCCACTTGGCTTCTGTACTCGAGCCAAGGACCTGACTGGTCACATCACAGTAAAAGCCATCTGTCCCAGTCTCACTCACCACTGCTGCCCGCCGCTGCCGCCGCCATCTCTATGCCTAGGAGGACTCTCTGGATATTATATATATTGTTCCCAGACAAAAATAAGTCTCAGAAGCTTATTTTTCTAATCTGTCCTAGCTCCTAATACATAATCCACCCCTTATTTCTACTTACAGGTTTCCATCCAGGAAGCCCGCCCCTCTCTGCTCTCCTAGCTCATGTTACTATTTAAAATAGTTGGATTTACGTTTCACTGTTGGAAGTTGGTCTGATTTGTCCAAAATGTGAAAAGTCTGTGCAGTGTTGGGAAAAGCTGTTACCGGCGTGCCCTGGTGCATGGAGAAGTGTCTCACCCTGCAGAGATTGAGAAGTCAGCCGGCTGGAGAGAAAGCATGACTTTAATTTTGTTGCAGGGTTGGTCTTCTTCTTCTTATTTTGTTTTGTTTTTTCTCTTAGCACATCCTGATTTTGAAATAGATCATGGTGTAATTTTGCTTTTTCTTTCCTCCTTCCTGTATTGCTTTTGTTTATAAACTGGACACAGGATATTCATCTGGCCTATTGGACTTTTTTTTCCTTTTTTGTTTTTCCTCCTCCATGTGGGACACCTAAGTTTTGACTCTTCCAATGGTCTATACCTCTTTGTTTTGAATGTTTACTTAGCAAAGCTATTCCTAAATGATTCCAGGAAATTAGCTAGGGGAAGTCAAATGTCAAACTGGAGTTTCTTCCCTTTCAACGTTTTTTATTGTTTTCCTGTTTTGGGGGGGTTTTAGGTTTTTTTTGTGTGTGTGGGGGTGGGGTGGGCGTGGGTGTGTGTGTTGGAGGTGGGGGTGTAACGGGGATGGGGGACCAGTGCTCCTGTGTGTTAGATCTGTGTACTTATCTTACAAGGCTAACATTCAGGTCCCCTGTTACTCACCAACTCCTTGGTACCATTTGCTTTTGCTTTTGTTTTGTTTTTTGGACAGGGTTTCTCTGTGTAGCCTTGACTGTTCTGGAACTCATTCTGTAGATCAGGCTGGGATCAAACTCAGAGATCTGCCTGCCTCTGCCTCCCGAGTGCTGGAACTAAAGGAGTGCACCACCACGCCTGGCTGACGTTTATTTTTGAAAGCACATCTCTCTCTCTCTTTATTTTTTAATAATTTATTTTAATTTTATTTTATGTGCATTGATGTGAAGGTGTCAGATCCCTAGGAACTGGAGTTACAGTTGTGAGCGGCCATGTGGGTGCTGGGAATTGAACCTGGGTCCTCTGGAAGAACAGCCAGTGCTCTTCACCACTGAGCCATCTCTCCAGCCCCTGAAAGCACATCTCTTTAGAGAAGTCTGATTAGTGCTTTCGACGTATCTGTTAGATACTTAACCGCTGCATAATAGTGTGCACACACCAAGGCTGAAGCAACATCTGTTGTCTCCAGTTGTCTCTGCTTGCTTGTGCACTTACTTGTTCAGAGACAGGGTCTCACCATGTAGCCCTGGCAGGCCTGGAACTCTCTACAGACCAGGCTGGCCTCAAACTCAGTGACCTACGTGCTTCTGCCTCCCAATTGCTGGGATCGGAGACATGCACCACCACACCTGTGTGTGTGTGTGTGTGTGTGTGTGTGTGTGTGTGTCTGTCTGTCTGTCTGTCTGTCTGTCTGTCTGTGTCTATATCTGTGTCAGTGTCTTGTGTGTCCTGTGCATGCATGTTTGCTATGCAGAGGTCAGAGGACAATTTCAGGAGTTTATTCTTTCTTGCCGTGATGGAATCCAGGGATCAGATTCAGGTGGGCAGGCTTTCCACGAGTTCCTTTATCTACTGAGCCATCCTGCTGGTCCCCGTCCCTCCCATTTTCTATGGATTAGGAGTCTGAGCGGGGTTCAAATGGGTTCCACTTCAGGATCTCATAAGGCTCCAGCTGACATGTCACCTGGAGCTGCTTCCCTCTAGTGACAGGTGGCCTCGTAAGCCTGTGGTGCTGGGCGCATTCGGGTACTTGGGGGTCAGTGGACCAAAGACCTTGCTCTCTTGGATGGTGCCTGGTGCTGCTGTCCTTTTTGTTACGCGCTTCCACACATGGCTGCACTCTTTCCCGAAGCCGCCAAGGGAGAATCACTAGCAAAAGTATCTCCTACTACCATGGGCTCCAGTGAGAAGGGGTGACATCCTGCCTCTTTGCCTGGTCCTAGGAGTTATTAATAGAAAAACATCATAGCTTCCATACACGCTCAGCATTTTACAAGGGAGATTACCAGGAAGCAGATCCTGAGGGTTATTTTAGAGTCTGCTCCGTGGCAGCTTCCTCATAGGAAATACATTCAGTGTAATGAGTCTTTTTTTGGGAGGTTCTTTGCAAAGCCAAAGCATCCTGTACATCACGAAAACAGAATCTGGAAAACTAATTACTTGAGGAGCCATTGAAGTAGCAAGTGTTCTGACTGGAGGGAGAATGTGTCCGTGGGTTGGTCTGTCTGTCTGTCGTCTGTGACAGGGTCTCATGTAGCACAGGCTGACCTTGAACTCTGTCTTCCTGTCACTTGTAATCTCCCAAATGCTGGGATCACACAGCTCACTGAGAATATATGGTCTTGAAGAGATAATTACAGAAAGGGTATTGATTCGTTCTGTGTGGCCCAAAAGGCAGCAAGCAATGGCTTGATCAATGGCTAAACATAGAGATGCCAATTTCAGCTGCATAAAAGGAGTCATTAAACAGCATAGGATGCAGTAGGGTGCGTGGAGAAATATGTAGCCGTTACAAGCATTTTGTTGGTGGTAATATGTGTGTGAAGGTGCCAGTGAGGTGGGGACAGAAGAGATCTTCAGAGGCTACACGGGGGAAACTTTTAAGGGTCTTTTTGAGGCCTTAAGAATCTGGGCTCTGTCTCCTTGTCTGACAATGTAGGCATCTACAGCATGTCTGTTTTCGGTGCCAACAGAACAGCGTGGGCTCCGGGCTTCTTATGATGTGACCACAGGGGCAGCTTTCCTTTGGCACCTTTCCAGCTTGCTAATAGTGCAATACATCTGCTTTTCAATAGAATACGTGAACTGATTCATTTATTATTATTTGTGTCGTTGTGGGGGCACTGTGTACCGTGACATGAGTGGGGGCCGAGGACAACTTGTGGAAGCCGATTTTGTGTTCACTGTGTGGATTCCAGAAACTGAACTTGTCTTAGTCACTCTTCTGTTGCTGTGAAGACTCACTATGACCGAGGTAACGCTTACAAAAGAAAGCATGTAATTGGGGGCTTGCTTATAATTTCATAGGCTTAGTCCATTATTGTCACGGTGGGGAGTTTGTTGGCACACATGGTCCTGGAGCAGAAGCTCAGCCCTACATCCTGACCTATAGGCCGAGAGAAAAACCTCAAAACCCACCCCAGTGACACACTCCCTCCAACAAGGCCACACCTCCTAATCCTTCTAATCCTTTCAAATAGTGCCATTTCCTGGTGACCAAGCATTCACATGAGCCTATGGCGGCCATTCTCATTCAAACCACCGCTGAATTTAAGTATCAAACGTGGCAGCTCAGTGGTCACCTTTACCTGCAAAACCATCTTGTGGGCGGGCCTTAACTAATTCATTTTACAACTTCATTGTTCGCAAAACATGTTCAAGAAACTGCCAACGGGGACAACAACAGACGTGCCAAAGTGGACAGGGGAGAGCCCACGTGATCTCAACCTTACTCAAAAACTACAGGCAACTATGGAACGCTGAGAGCAGGAGAAAGGGTCTTCCCTAGGGAAGAGCACACCAATTGATTGTCCAATACCAAATGATCAGTCCTGAAAACACAGTGATACACAGACTGAGCAGGATATAGATGCACACAGACACACGCACATATATGCATGCAGTAATAGTTAATGGAAAAAGAGGCCACAGATTTGAGGGAGCAGGGAAGGTATATGGATGGGAGAGTCTGGAGAAAGGGAAGGGAAGTATTAAAGTATACTACTCCTGGTTAGG